ATAGTTCTCACTATAAATTCTATAACTCTTAGTCAACACAAGAGAACGAGACTCGGATAGTCTTACTGATCTGTATTTTCAAGATAGTATATTGGTTCAAAATATTCACATGTATAACTTTAAGAATGGTTAAGATTCCAGTGTGAGATACTTTTGGTCAATAGTACATTTTACTATTGAGATCAATAGTTCTAGTTCAAAACTCTGTTTCATAGTCCTGGCAAGCAAAAGACGAGTAAAAGAGCTAGTAGGTATCCTAGTCGTGACAGAAAGTATTGTTTAGTCTTTTTGTCAAAAAATCCTAGTACATGACTAGTCCAAAATCATTTGTAGTTCACAGTTAATGAGGAAGAAGGTTAGATCCGATTATATATAGAATGTGTCATTTATCAATCGCTAAATCGTTTGAACTATACGATCAAACGATTAACGTCTACATGTTAATAAACATTCTAAGATGCTATTTAATACAATTTTACATAGACTTTTACAAATTTCATCATGAATAATTTAAAGATTTTCGAACAAATTTAATTGTAACGATTCTTTTTGTAATTGATAAAAATATTAATTTTCTTACATATTTTTTTTAAATTAAAAATCATTTCATTAATAGAATGAAGTTTTACAACGACATGAGAATATTATTTTGAAAATTTTAATTTCATTTTGTGAAAAATGTTAATAATTTAAAGACAATATTATTCATAGTATTATATTTTATAAAGATAAGGAGACATTATTTTATTGTTTCAACAAGACAAATCGTTTATATTTATATGAAAATTAAATTGAAATAATAATCGAGTTAAAATAAAAAAAATTTTCAAAAACTATTTTAATATTAAAATTATTATTATAGAATATTTAATGAACAAAAAAAATTTTTTATATGTTATTTGAAGTTTGCATACAATCAATCATATCTATATAATTTTGTTCTTAGAAAAATATTTGTTCAAGCTATAACCTGTTCATACTTGTCTAGAGTTTAATAAATGAAATATTTCGACATATAAGAGATAACGCATATTTGCTCTAAGCATTATGAAATCAAACTGAGAAATTTATTGTTTTGCTTAGAGAAAAAAAAATGTTCTTACGACGATTGTTCGCGATATTGATTATTATCAATTTACTTTTTTTGACTGTATCTGCTTATAAAAAACGAAAAGAAGGTAAAAAAAACATCTTCTTATTTCCATTAAACTACACATTTATATTAGAATTTATTTTTCTAATTTTGATTTCTATTTAAATTCTCTTGAAAGAAAAAAATAAAGAAATAGTTAATCATAATCAAAAAAATCTTTACATCTGTTTATATTCATTATTTCAAAACTTAATAACCAGATCGAATATTGTCACTTTAATAGAAATATATTCTAGAAATCTTCGAAAAAAATAAAACTAATTTGAAATAAATTTTCTCAGGGTTCATATTGATTACAGTTACGAGATGATTCAGCTCCAGTTTGTGATGTTTCTATTCCACTACATTCTTTTTCTTTCATGTCATATAAACTAATCTCTATTCTGTTCTTCTTGTCACTGAAGTTTTTCCTTTCTCCCTCAATCAGATTTGTTGAAACCAGATGCTGTAAAAATTTTAAATTAGATATACAAATGAGAAGAGAAACAATGATTTTTATATTCATTCTAGAAAATGATTGGTCATCTCGTTGATATAAAATGCCTTATATATGAGAAGAAAATAAAATATATTAATATTAACATGACAATTAACATGTTCAGATCTTATTGAAAATTTTTTGTCAAGAAATGTTTTATTTTCTATGATTTGAAATTGATCAAATATGAAATGATCATTAATATATCTTGTTTATTTTTATGTAGAATTTGGTCATGGAATACAAATAACAGTTGGAATCATTCTTTCTATTGCAATTTTTATCGGCGGTTGGCTTATATGCAATTATAAAAAAAGACAAGCTAGGAAAAGACTTGTTTGCCAAGTCCAAACGATTGATGCTCTAAGTCAACAGAACATTATCCCAAATGTCATTCCTAGTACTCTAATCGCTGATACATCTATGATTCACGAAGATTCTCCACCTACTTATCAACAGATTCAAGAAATTAAACAATCACAAGATGAATTAAAAATAAAACAATAGTGATAGACAAGATTTTCTCTTTAAATACAATGTTTTCAAAGAAGTAACACTAGAAACCATCTATACAATTCATTACTAATATATCAACTTTCAATTTTTTTTCTTGTTCGTACTAAAACGTGCAAATCGATATAAATATAACATTATTTTAAAGATATCTTCATTGATTTCGACCTTTCTAATAAACGTAAAAACTTTAAAAATGTATGTGTTTGCAGAAACTCGCGTTTACTTACAAAATATTCTTCAATTCGTCAATATCTCACATATAAACATGAAAGCTATTTCAAATATTTGCAATTTTTGCGCATAAATCCAAGACAATAGCATGCATCGAAATACAACTTTTTTTTTATTTTTCAGCAAAACATACGAGATTGTGCATGGTTCTTATCCTTGCTAATAGTTCCATGCAATATTCTTCTGTGTTTATACAAGATGACTAGAATTCTGCATATCAATGCAAAAAAAGTCATATTTACGAAAGGTATTATCCAAAACAATTCTGCTATCGTTTAGTGTGCATGCTATTTCATGCAAGAATTCAGTTTTTTCTTTGGCGTGTATTTATTTATTTCTCATTAAAATGAAATCGCTTTCATGTATTGACACTATATTAGCTCAAAAATTTTGTTCAATTTTTTGAATTTGTCAATAGTTATTAATATTCATCCTCACATATCTGAAGCAATTATTTTATGATCATTATATACTTCAGTTTTGATTGCATTTCTAATGTAATTAGGTAAGCGAATGGTAAAAAAAATTCGTTTTATGAAACAAAATATGTATGTTAACTAAATGTGCTTCGTTTTTTTCTTTGGTCATTCTAAAATAAACCTGCATGCACACGCGTTAGGCCTCTGAAAAAGTGTTCGTATGACCTCA